AAAATTTGTTACATATGACCACGGTGAACCTACATAGAAGAAACGTTAACAATCAACCATTATATACGAATATAGCATATGAGAGATGAACAAAAAAGATATTGAAGAAACCAAAAATAAGGCGATGGGGGCGAACAAAAAATTATGACATACAATAGAACAAAACAATNTATAGTGTATTTATAATAGACGATAAAAAAAATAACATCTAGGGTTTTAAAACAACGGATACAAATAAATAGACCAATAAAATAAATGGGTCACAAAAAACAGATCCCAAAAATTGATAGAACATAATTTAATTAGTAAAAACATTAAGGGTATCATTAAATAAATACAATTAAGTACGCTCTTAAGAGGACTCCTCGAGCTACCACATAAACTTTTGTACTTCTTAAATAATATATAGATAGATTAGAAACATAGAAGCAGTTTTTAACATACTAATCACTCTTTTTTCTTTTCTTTTCTTTTTTAACAGTCATACTGATCACTCCTTTTTAGCATACTTACCCCTTCTTTTTTTTTTAACTGGAGATATCCAGACCTAGCCGCTAAATTCTCCGTATTTTTAATAGATCTAAAATGTGATTCGCCAAGCGAAAAATGAGTAAAAATTCTCAAGCTTTCAATAGTTAATCGGATTAGAAAACATTTTTTAAACAAACTTTTACCATTTCATTTTTTTTTTTTTAAAACGGAATACCAACATACAAATCCAAACTTTTAACATTTACGGTGTTGATGCAAATTTATTGAAAGAGAGAAATAAAGACACACAAGCATGGAACACATAAAGCTCTCTTTTCATAGGTTTGGTTTAATTTGGTGGTGGTTGAGCGAGTAGTTAACAACCTCCGAAGCACTTACAGGCTGCTGAGCCAGTGCCGCTATCAACATCACATGTCCCAAACGATACTGAGCCTCCATAGTATTGAAAGCATTTCTGGGTACATTCTTGCGTAGTAAGGCCAGCGCAGGAAGACACCGCAGCTTCTCCTAGATAGCATTGAGATTCCGCCTTTGGTAATCCTGTACGATATTTAAAAC